TATAAATTACATAGATGCATAATATAGAGCTGCAGGAAGACTCACCCCAATCTCAGTAGAGGCACATTCAAAAGCCAGTATATTCAATCAGAAAGGTTCATAGGTCCTTATCCTACCATGTGTTGCACCATAATTTATATCAAGTGTCAGGCTGCAGCAACACAGGTCAAGTAGTAAAAGGTCTTGCTACTCTATTAAATCAGAAACAATGAAGACAGGCTGCCATTGCACAGGTCAAACAATTAGAACCTAGCTGCTAAAGTAAATAGGGAAGAATATCAGGTTGCAATTGCACAGGTCCAGTACCTTGAAAACTTATTGCTAATTAATATAGGATGTAAAATCCATGCTTTGATTCATACCAAAAGGATGATATGTTCTTAATTCATAAATGAATCTAGTTTCCTTTTGTAATAGGATCTATTCAATGTTTTGCATATGAAAGGGTTTTTTTATGGCAGTATATAATTATAAACTTCATCTCATTCACATTGTGACCTGCCTGCATGTAATGCCCAACCATTGGTGAATTTTCAACAGCATTATTAATTCTTCACCGGTGCTCCAGCACCCGAGTCCTAATTGCCCTAGTTGTCATCCCAACGTATTTTAACCCACATTGACAAACAGAAAGATAAATTGCATTTTTTGTAGAACAGGTTGCAGTAAAATTAAAATTATACATAATCCCTGTGTCTTTATCAGTAAACTACTACCTTCTGCCATATGCTGACCAGCCTTGCAATGTCTACTCCTTAGAAACCCTTTTGGATTAGTTGCAGCTGTGCTGCCCTTAAAGAAATCAGATCTAACTAAAGCATTTCTCAGGTTTTTTCCTCTGCGTAAACCTATATATGGTGGCAGCTGACAGCCTGGAATATGAGAAACTATATGCCAGTGTCTAAAGATTGATCTTCTAATTTGATTAGAAATGCTAGAATATTGAAAACCACATGCAATTCTTCCTGTAGATTTTCTATTTTTATATTTCAATAACCCCTCCCTGGCTACATGCTCTGCCCGGGCTCTAGCCTGTTTGATCGTGCTGAATTATTTGCATGAATTGTTTCTCAAGTAAATCTGCTTCAGCAGCAAAATCTTGTGGAATGGATGAATTCCTTTTCACCCGTATGAATTGTCCATAGGGTAAATTATGATGTAATTTATGTGGATGGAAGGATGTGAAATATAATAAAGAATTTCTATCAGTTGCCTTGTGGTATGGCTTGAACATTAACCTGCCCTGGTGAACATATCCAGTAGTGTCTAAAAAGTTGATAGACTGTTGACCGTAGTATATATCAAACTTTATGCTGTCATGTAATGTATTGAGCCACTGATGAAAATGATTTTAGCATATATTGCTCTGCACTAACAGAAAAATATCATTAATATACCTCAAAAATACATTTTCAGATGCTAGAACATATGTTTCTTCAAAGTGTTGCATAAAAAGAAGAAGAGATTGGATTTATACCCCGCCCTTCACTACCCGAAGGTGTCTCAGAGTGGCTTACAAACGTCTTTCCCTTCCCCTCCCCACAACAGACACCCTGTGAGGTAGGTGGGGCTAAGAGAGCTCTGACAGAAATGGCCCTTTTTCATGAACAGCTCTTATCAGAACTACGGCTTGCCCAAGGTCATCCAGCAGGTGCAAGTGGAGGAGTGGGGAATCAAACCCGGTTCTCCCAGATTAGAGTCTGTGCACTTAACCACTACACCAAACTGCAAATGAAGATTTGCAAGTGAAGGTGCAGCTGGATTTCCCATTGCAATGCCACATTTTTGAAAATAAAATTTTTGTTCAAACCGAAAATAATTATTTTCCAGTATTAAGTCCAAAATTTGAAGCAAAAAATAAGTGGGAACAGGGATATTTTGCTGTTGCTTTAATACCTCTGCAATAACCTGTCTTATTTCTCCATGTGGTATATTTGTATATCCTTATACTAATAGCGAAGTTGCCCCCATGAGTGCGGATATCGAAATCCAAGCTCCGGGGGCAGCTGGGGGGCAGGGAGAGGTGTGTGCACACGTGGGGCAGTCCCCACATGTGCACAAAAATGCTAAAAGTTGAAAAAAAATTCGGGGATGATGTTTAAATCCCCCCGGGGGGGTGGAGGAGACGGAGCTCTTCTCCCCACCCCGCGAGCATCGCGGGTCCCCTCACGAGGGGGACTGGCCTCGCCGCCGCCGCCTCGGGGAGATTGAGCGGGGGGGGGATGGAGGAGACGGAGCTCTTCTCTCCCCCCCCGCGAGTATCGTGGGTTCCCCTCTTGTAAAGCTCTAATATCAAGGGTCACCAGGTAGCTGCCTTCAGAAACCTGTATATTCTCCACCTGTTGGATAAAACGTGTGGTGTCCTTAATGTATGATTTCACCTGAGTTACTAGGGGCTGCAGAATATGATCCAAAAATTGTGATATGGGTTCAAAAACAGATCCTACCCCTGATATAATAGGGTGTCTCTATGGTTTACGAAAATCTAGAATGTTTGGATTATCCAGGAACTATATGAGTCCATATAGTTCCTGAATTACTCAAAATGCGGCAGCTTGCATCCGGACTACGGATCTCTATGGCTTATGGAATTCTAGAACGTTTGGATTATCCAAGAACTATATGAGTCCACTTCATGATGAATGCACGTCAGGTTGGACTATGATATCACAATACAACTGGAGTGAGACACATTGAATTTTTTGGGACTTTATTCTTCTTTCTGTATATTTGTTGTTTCCTGCAAGAACACCTTGGCCTTATATAGTTATATTTCTGAATTACTGAACTTGTCATTCAATATATATATACAAAATCTGAACAGAACAGGTGTTCATAACTATTGGCAATATATGTAGAAGGGTGCTTAATAAAGAAGATCTTTCATGCCTGATCAGGGGCCTGAATCAAATTATTTTAAAGTAACAAACCTGCTACTGGTGTGACACAAACCCCATGTGCATGGAATGTGCATTATTAACTCTGATGATTCTTTGGTTCACTTTGGTGGAAAGGTCTCTCATGTGAACAAATCCCATGACATTTTTAGGTATGAACACTACATGTGTGCATAGGATTAAGACCATCTTGTGATCTTCTTAGTGTTGCAGTTTTCAGCAACAAAGGAATCTTATAAAATCAGCCACAATCATCTGTGTTATAACACTTCTGCACTTTTTTGTTGTTGAAAAAGTTATTAAACTTCACCTTTGGTTAGCTGTTATCTGTATTTATCCTTTGTTGTGATTAAGCATGCAAAAGGTCATTCCACTTGATGGAAGTATAGATCTTGACTTGTTAATGAAGACTGTAGGTGGCCACATTGACCTGCAAACAATTTCCAAAACAAAGGAACAAGAAAAAAAATCACAAAATAGTATGCAGGCTTTTGATACTTCAGGATTATACATCAGGTTGGACATTCAGTACAAAAAAAGGTGGAGTAAAGAATAAATAAGTTATTTCAGGACATATTGGAAAAGAGCCTTTCCACCATGCCTTTAAGAATTTAATCCTCCCCATCTCTTCTGTTGTTGTTTTTAATTGAATGTTCAGCTTAATTTGTTTGTTTTGTTTGTTACATTTGATTTATTTACCGCTCTGACCCCGAAGGGTCTCTGAGCGCTTTACAGGTAGTATCAATCCATTTCCCCTAACTAAGGCCACATAGTATACAGGGGTGGGGCTGCCTACCGGCACCCAGGTGGCAAAGCTGTTGTTCTACGGCTCCGGCATTCTTCCTTCAGGTGGTCTGCGGGTCGGCGTCCCGTCTCCGGTGTCCAGGGCAGGGGCAGGTCCTTCAGCTTGGCGGTCTCTTCGGCACGCAGCCCGTGTTGGCACAGCCCGGCCATCGTCCATTTCTGGCTCCGTCGTGCCTGCGCCTCCATGTCATTTTGGGAACTTGAAAAGCTTCAACACCATTTTGTGATATTCTGGTTGATGCTAATAAATTTCCAGAGGCAAAGGCAAACAACCTCTGCTTTTCACTTGCCTTGAAAGCCCCTTGCTGGGGTTGCCATAAGTTAGTCTTTATGGCATGTATGTACCTTAGCTGCAGGCATGGAATAAGAGAGCTGACAACTTCAGTTGGGTAGTAAAAAAGGCCAAATGTATTTAACGTATTGATTTGCATTTATCAAAGGGGATCTGTGGCACCTGGAGGCCAAACCACAATACAAATCCATTTGCAGTGCGGGCGGTTGGTGGGAAACAGAAATGTCAGGCCTCCTTTTATTTGTGCATCCCTGAATGTGTGGGCGAAGCCACCTTGGCTCTGAGCCTTGAGCTATCACATACATATGGCTCATGCTCCTCCTTGCCAAGACTGCATGATGCTTGAGGAAGGTGTGCCACTTCCTGTTCCTCTAGTTGCAGGGTCTATGAGTGAAGGATAATGAGTGAAGGAAACTCAAGGGTTTCCTGTCCCAGGTCCATGAAGGCACCAAGGCCTCAGGCCTGGTCTGAGGATTAACCCTTCGCCATACAAATGATGTCCCAGAGTGCTCACCTAAGCTGTACAACTTGACCTGCACTGCTACCATCAACATAGGATACTAATGCCTAGGCATTACTGAAACTGGTGGATTTCCTGTTAACATTTCCAGAGTAGAATAGAGGGGAAATTCCTACTTGACCCCCAAATGGGCGACCAGATTGTGCCCACTCTGTAATATAGAGAGAGTGGGTATCTTCCTCTCCAATGGTCAGAAAGAGAAGGGAGTGGGGATGATGCCAGCGGTTATATAGACTTCATTTCCCCTCCTCAATCCATCACAAAGAAGGCAGTGTCATGCTATTAGGCTCTTTCTTCTGCCTGCTGTGTCAAA